TTAGCGAGTCCGTTCCGAGAATTGCGTCCACAAACAAGTGATCGGTCACGACGAAAGGAAGCGTCTTCTCCAGCGTTCCAAGCGTGACGGGCAAGTCGATAACCCCACTAACGCGAATCTTGTGCCCCGAGACACTATCCAAGCCCCCAGTATAAGGTCGTAGAGGTTCGGAGGCTCGTCCGAGACGCTTCAGCACGCGTTTATCGACGAGACTGGCGACCGCACCTGTATCGGCTAGCATTTCGGACGGGCAGCAATCGATAAAGCCGTCCGACAGCGCTTGCACGCCACCGACGCTGCAGATGACACGCTTGCCATCCGGCACGACACTTTCACCGTCGTCGAAGACGTCATCGCCGCTCACTTCGCGCAGCCCAGGGCTTCTCCGCGGCTTGGGAGCTCTTCTCACGTTTAAGGAGCAAACCTCGGGCTCCTCTTCTCCTATTTTGGGATCTCCGTCCTTGATAGTCGCACCGAAAGTCACCCTCTTCCTGGAACTTGTCGCAACGGTCGCAGTCACTATTTTTGACGTCTCGTCCCGTCTGTCGCATAGCTTGTCGCGAATAACGGAAGCTTCTGTCTCGAAATTGTCACGTGCCCAGGCCAACGCTCGATTTTGGAACGTCTCAGCCAGCGTTCCACCCACTTCGACGAGGTATCCTCGGAATGAGTCCTCGTCCAAGAAAACTCTGTTCTCTTTGTCGCGCAAGGGTGGGATGTCGTCTTCAGCATCACCGTTCCCCCGCTCTCAGGAACGTCGGATTGACGATCCTTCGTAGCGTTTTGCTCTTGTTTGAGGAGTTCGTATACTCGTTTACGAATTATGGAACGCCACCGAAATGGTAACGTTCCCTTCTCCTCTGCAGGGAGTTCTGAGGTTGGCACGACGTCCTCTTCAAGTCCAACACAAACGTTCCGCACGAACTCGTTCTCCAGCGCGTCCTCCAACATCTCCGTACAACCCTTACGCTCGTCCTTGTCCGTCGTAACGGAGCCAACGACCGTCGTCGACTTCTCTCCCGTTCCTCCGACATCCTTGAAGTCCCGATTGGCACGTTCCGCTTCAGTCGACGTCTCTAGCGTGTAAGCGTACCAGTCCAGCCAATACTCTGGTGTTCCGAGATCTCCAGATGAGACCTCCCGGGTACGTTCCAACACGTCTTCCGGTATCCCAAGCTCGGCACTCATTTCCGCGAGTGTCGGCTTCCCTTGTTCATCCGCGTTCCGCTTGGCACGTAGCAGCACCTCTTCTTCGTTCATCGGGAACAATCGTTCTTCCAGTTCCTTCTCGTACTCCTCGGGTTCATTCTTCACTACCTGGCTGCCACCGTGCTCGAGCATATCCAGCTTCTCGTCGGTAAACAGGCGTTCGTAGTGCTGCGTCGAATCCTTCCCCTTAGTACGTTCCTCGTCCTCCTCGGCCTTCTGAGCTTCTGTCCTTTCTTGACCGGTACTCACTTGTCCAATGACTGCCGAGAACTGACTTGACCTGGCGCCAGATGCGTCCTCTGTGATCGTTTCGAGTGCTCCTTCGTACTGCTTTGAGCGGGTGGACAGCGTCTCCACCCCCTCACTCTCTTGGCACTTCTCTTCGGCGTCCAACGTAGTCTCGGGGCGTTCCGTTGCTCCCTTACTGACGTCTTCCACCGACTTGGAACGTTCCGTTGTTCCGTTTTCCCAGTTTAGCTTCGCCGAGGAACGTTCCGTTGTTTCCTCAGCGACTACTCTCTCTCGTACGGGCTTCTCGATAGAGCCCTTTATCTCTAGACACTCGTTCTTGGCGTCTGACGCAGTCTCGGGGCGCTCCGTTGCTCCCTTACTGACGTCCTGTACCAACTCAGAACGTGCCCTCTTTTCGTTTTCCCAGTTCAGCGTCGCAGAGGAACGTTCCGTTGTTACCTCAGCGACCACTCCGTCTCGTGCGGGCCTCTCCGTAGAGCCCTCAATCTTCTCGTCTCGTTCTAGCCCAGTCCGTTCCGTCGGACTGCTCTCTCCGCTCGTTCCACTCATAGTTTCCACAATTTCCGTCGTTACGCTTGTGCCAGGAACGTCACGTGCGCCTTCATCGCTCATCACACCTCTCCCGAGAGCCCTCTGACGTCCTTGTCGCGGTGAACCCTCATCTCTCTTAGTGTCGCCAACCAGGCAAGAGGAAGGAGCGACACTTTCTTCCCCTTCCTTCATTGTTGGGACGTACCAGCGGGTGCAGTCACGCTCCCAGCGGCCACGCTCTGCATCATTCCTCGCAAAGTATCGAGGCTCGGGCATCTCGCCACCAGGTGACCCGCCTTACCACACAGCAGACATTCCGCTTGGCGTCGCTCTCCGTTCCGGTAATTCCCTTGGGGTCTTGGCCAGTTGCACTCCATCGAGTAGTGTCCAAGTTCGTTACACCGATTGCAACGGCCTTGTCCACGGGGACACGTCTCACGTCCACATCCAACACGACCACAGCGTCCGCAAACCACTTCCCCTTCCGTGGTACGCGTGTCAGGCCCTAGTCGGATGCGAAGAGGTCCGAGCGGTGCGCCAGCCACGTTCCTATTCGGAGCTGGAACGCCAGTACTTGGAACGTTCGTAGGAGCCACGGCGCCAACGAACCCTTGTGACGTTCCAGGATTCTGCTGCTGTTTCAGCATCAACTGGTTCATTTGTTGAAGCTGCTGGAGCATCTGCGACTGCGTGGACGTCACCGCGTTCACGTTCCTCACCGTCGTTCCACTATTAGCAAACTCGTCCTCTTCTTCCACAGGGAGGTGCAGATTCTTGTACAGCAATAAAGCGCACGCTTCCTGGATCGACGCAGCTAGGTTCGCGTTCAAAACGGCACGCATCTGCTTGTTCCTTAACCCATCGAGGAAGAACTCGTACTGCATACGAGGTTCGTGATAGTTTAGGTACTCGCACATCGTGATGATCCGGTCGCCCCACTCTTCCGCAGATTCGCCGTAGTTCCTCTTTGCGGCCTTGAGTCGGCTCCACAACTGAGCTGGCGTCTGAAAGATGAAGCGGTTGTGGAATCTCACGCGCAGGGTCTCAAAATCGTTGATCCTCGCATTGTACCACCACTCCTGACCCAACTTGCCCTTCAGACACTGCTCAAAGGCAGTCAACCGCATTTGGTCGTCCATACCGAGCGTACACTTCTCGAAGGAACGCCAGAACGCGGCCGCCCTTTCGTACGTGGCCGTCTCGGAGTAGAATGGAACGATAACTTTCACTGCGTTCCGCAATTCCGTCGGGATACCGACAATCGGAACGTCCTGCTAAGCACCTCTCCCTGACCCGTGCGAGCCATTGCGGACTCCTTGGTCGTAGTACGGACTCGTCACTTGCCCTTGCGGAGGTACTGCGTTATGTGCGTACCTTCCTCCTTGAGCACCCACGTTCCCTTCTTGTCCTAGCGCTCCTGCTCGTCCCTGGAACGTCGCAACATTCATAGGAGACGTTCTCTGAAACGGCAATCCGTACGTTCCGCTTCTGGGGCTGGCAGGTGTCTGCCGTGCAGACGCAGCAGACCACGCGGGTATCGTTCCAGCAGCAGCCCACCCAGGTGTCGACGTCATTGGCGGTTGGAAGGGAGGGTAGAACGCACTCCGTTCGGGCGTTCCACCACCTCCACCGTTCCACGTGGAACCAGCCATTGGAATTGACACGCCACCATACGAAGGAATAGCAGCCATCGGCATTCGGCTAGGTGTCGAAACCGGCGTTTGATTCCTCATCCCCGGGGTCATAGGTCCTTGATACCCCATCACTGAAGACGTCATTGGTCGGGTCGGTGTCGGCACGGTACGAGGCACGTGTCCTGTAGCTTGAGGTCTTGGAGACGGCACCGGCGTTCCATCCGTCACTCCAGCCCTCTGTAGCAGTTGGGCGAGACCGTCCATCATGAGAGCCTGTAAGGCTGGGTCCGTCGTCGGCGTCCCACTTCCTCTCGTCGGCGTTCTCATCGATTGAACAGGCGTCGCTCCTCGACTTCCACCAGGTACGTACGCTCGCGTAGGTGTTCCAGCAACGTCATGTGTAGCCCCTGGGGCACGTCGGCTTCCTTGTTGACCCGGTACGTTGTTGTTGGGTTGTCCGTACACTGACGTGACCATGGGCACGTCCCTTCTAGAGTCGTCCATCGGTTGCAAGGAGGGACGAGTCCGATCCAAGGCGAACCCCACTTCGCGGCGACCTCCCGAGTCCATCACCGAAGCGTCCAAGAGCGTACCCGTCGTCGTCCTTGCAGGCGTCGTTCCTTCGCTCGGCGCCGGTTGACGTGCCCACTGCTCAAGGACTGTGTTGGACATCTGTCCACCCTGAGGCGTTCCAGACACAGACTCAACCATCCTTCTCGTTCCCGGAGACGGGGACGCCACGTCGAACATGTCCTCGCCTTCCACGTGGACCGCTCGTGTCTCGAGTCCTCCCGTCTCTTGATCAGCTCGCTGCGGCGTGCCACGTTCCCTGCCATCTCCCTGGCGTTCCCTTCCTTGAAGTCTCTGCGGCGTGCCGCCGTCAGCAGCTCTCTCAGCGCGCGCTTCCTCTTCCTCCTCGAGGATCTCCACGGGCTCCGTTTCCAACGGAGGAGCCCATCCCCCTACCCCTTCACCGGCTTCAAGTCCCTCGCTGGACCATCCTTGAGCACTCATCATTTTCCCACTTCTCGCTCCTTCTTCCTTGGCACTCCGTTGCCAAGGCTTCTTCTTACGCTTGTACTCCTACGAAATTCGGCTAGAAGATACCCTGCTTCTCCACCAAATTGTCGCGGTGTTCCTCTAATCGGGGTCGTGAGTATCTTGGGTCGACGTAGGAGGTAGTAGTATTAGCGACACTACTGTGATAGTAATGTAAAAGTTGATATATTCTTGTGTTTCTTGTTAGAAGGAAATCCACGACTGACTTCCTCGTTTCACCTCGCTAAGAGTTTTTAGAGCTTCTTACCTTTTGTCAGATCCCTCGTGCGTGGCGGTCCAGCTCCAATTCCCGCCACGACCAGCTGCTCCACGACTTCACACTTGGAACTTCACTGTCTTGGCCGCAGGTCCCGCTTGCTTGGACGTGGTCCGGAGAGTCTGGAGTGAGTAGACCTTCTGCAGGCAGTCAGCCAGCATCGTTAATCCACCGTCTAACTGTACACCGTGACATTCGCCGCACTCGGTCGACGCCATACCAGACACCACACCAACGAGCACATCATCTGTAATAGCGGGACCACCAGAGTCGCCGTAACATGAGGCCTTCTCACCTTCAGTACCAGCACACATCACAACGGTGTAGTCGATGGTGTAATAGTCGCATTCTTCATCAGGGATAACATGGAGATCCACCGCCCGAAGAGTTTCGCTATAGGCGCTGTCGTTCACCATGCCCCATCCAAGAACAGTTACCACTGTGCCAGTTTTGGTGTCCGATCCGTCAGCTGCACCCAGACGCACTGGTTAATATCGTGACGGCTTGTCCAGCTTGAGTAATGCCACGTCGTACGCTAACCATGACGAGTTGAAGAGTGGGTGGCGGAAAGCTTCCACGACACGTATCTGCTCTGCGCTCTGTCCTCCTCTGCCAGCATTATTTTGGTTACCGAGAGAGGCGTATACATCATACAAGTTCCAATCGAGACAATGCGCAGCCGTAATAACGTACTGTGGCGCAATGAGCGTTCCGCCACAAAAAGTTTTGTCGTCAGGCCCGTTGGCATGTAGGCCAACCATGTACGGATGATTGAAAATGTTGGCGTTCGAGCCGCCATAAATGCTCGCTGGCTCCTCGGACGTCAAGTCCGTCTGATCTGAAAACGAAAGCCCAGTCATCAATGCTAAAACCGTCGAGATGGCAATGGCACATTGAGTGATCTTCATTATGAGAGAAATATTACCGACTTAAGCTCTCAACAGCAATAGCTGGAATGATATAGAGACAACTATGCCAACAACCGCTACAAGAGCCATGGTGCCGAAAGAGAGACATATGTAGCGTCTTTTTACAGTGCATACACGTACAGGTACAGTACTTGTAGACAGCTGTACTTGTAATCTCAAAAGTTTTATGATTACGAGTCCTGTCCAGTAAACATCGAAACAATGTTAACGAGACATGTGCTCGTGATCACTACACTGTAGTCTACAGAACATGACATGCCCACCATTCGCACCCTTGTCCTGAAAACTTGCGGCTAGTTGTTCAGTTTAAACACACCTGTCACTCGCTAGATTCCTGAAGCTGAACGTTGATGCGAATGACTTCATCCAGCGGAGGCCACAAGACCGAGTTGTAGATTTAAGTGGGAGCCAGTCGAACGCGAAGTACGATTTGGCATTCTGAAAAAGCTTCGTTGCACATGTGTCGATATTAGAGGAAAATGATAAAGCGTCTAGAGCCATTCGTCCTGGAGGCTGTTAACTACCCCCATGACCAGCTCGATCGTCGACGCTTTTTGAGCGAAGTCTCCTTCGATTCGAAGCGCGACGTGGTGAAGCAGGTGACGCACAGTGTCTGGGTCAATCTCGTCATACAGCGGTTTTAGTTTCAACTGTACACACCCAATCGAGAATGGATTTGTCACTGTCAGCGAAGCTAGTTGATCGGAGATACCGTCAGCTTCCCAAGAGTCAGCAACGTCCGTTGTATCCATTCGAGTGTGCGCGGGTAGAGAGCTTCGTTGTGTCTGGATGTTCAGGGCATCGCACAGTTTCTCAGCGAGTTCCCCACCGTCACCTTCACTCTGAGGGTTTGCGAGACCCATCCAACGCGCAAGTTCTTCCAAAGGGAAGCGATCTTGTTTGCCAAACCCCTTGTTGATCATTCGAAGACTCCGGGTCCATATCTTCAAAAAGTGACGCAGCGACGCTGCTCGTTCCAACATGTTCATATTGTAAAACTCGACGAAAAACGCGTGAAAATCATCCGTCTGTAATGCCACAAACGCCCGAGCTGCACGCTGCACCGCCGGTAGCTGTCGTAGTCTCGACGACAGCTTCAGCAGCATCCAGGCCACAGCTTGAGGTTTGTCAGCATGTAGCAGCAGATCGTACGCCACAAATTCCCCTGCATCGTTCAACTCGGGTGTGTCTTCGATATTTAAACCTTCTACCTCGTGCATATTATACAGCCCTTGCAGCTGAGACAGAGCCGACACTAGCTGCTCATCGTTCAGCTTGTCGCTCCAATCCTGCTGACTCTTCGCGCTTTCCAGCAATTGCACCGACCGCAGTCCTGCCAGCAGATAGAACCGTGCTATCTGTTGCAACGCCGTCACCAACGAAGCGTCCTCAATCCTCTGCAGCGATAGAGTGTCAGGCCCTGTTTTTGTCTAGTACCCCCTCACTTTAGTACACTTTACCTGCACAGTAAAGTCCTGTCGCACACTGCGAACACGGTCATTAACAAAGTGATAGACTGCCAGAAACTCTGCAGTTCGTGTCGATTCTCCCTTTTCCCAGCCATCAAAGCCACTTTGCGGCCAGGGAAGCACCGTCGTCAATAGGTGACGTAGAGTGCGAAGCAATACAGGGGCTGGTCTCAGTTCCATCGGATCCCAGACGGCTCGACCTGCAGCAGCTCGACGGTATTTCTTCACAGGAACGAGCGCTGGGGCATTGGAAGTTGGACGCTCGAAGCGACTGAGCTCCTGAGTTCGAGCACGCTCTGCTGCTTCATTTGCGGGGCACAGAGTGCCGCATTTGCCACGGATGGGGCCTTGCTGGAGTGACACATGAGCAGATGGTGGATCATTGCCGTGGTTGTCCTGGCCCCGACCCCGGGGATAGCGACCTCGACCAGAATCCCTGCGTCTGGTCCTCTAGACAAATGAGAAAATATTGGCCAATCAAAAAGTCGCCAAAATAGAAATATCGAATAAAATTTAGCTGCGTCTCCCAATGACGCATACTCTTGCTATGTTTCTCATCTTCCAGGGTGCCACAGAGAAGCTATGACCCCTTTCATCGCCCCCCCCCAAAAGAGTCGAGCTGTAGCAGCGTATGATCGCACGAAGGCGTAGGTTTCCTCCTCCGCGCACTTGAAGCGGCCTCGCGAACGGCCACGCCAGGGAGTGGGCGGTGGAAGCTCTAAAGACATACAAAGAGAAGAATGGAGACCTTTTGGTTCCAGTCGCGTTCGTTGTACCGTCGGATGACGAGGACTGGCCACAATCACGGTGGGGGCACCGACTTGGGAGTGCAACGTCTCGTTTTCGGAACAAATTGAAATCTCGGAAAGGAAGGATGACTTTGTCGAGGCAGACGATCGACGAACTGGAGAGAATGGGCTTTGTACAAGACGTGGTGCAGTACAAATGGGATCATCGTAGTCTGCCGTGTCTGCGCCAGTTCTATAAGCTTAACGGCCACACGGACGTGCCGGTGCCGTTTGTGGTGCCGGAGGGAGATGAATTCTGGCCGAAAAATGCATGAGGTATACGTCACCGTCGAAGGTATGCGATCTAATGGTCATTATGCTTCACAAGTGATCAAATCATAGAGGAGTTGGGTAAGTTGGAGTTTTGCTTCATTTCGACTTACGAACGCGATTGGAAGGAAAAAATACTTCCTTCGTTAAAAATATATCCACGTGACTTCGGATTGGACAGAATGTTAAGGTGCCATCGTGCCAACCGTGGCCGGCAAAGGCGTGGGGGATGGCACTTGGTGTGGTGGTAAACAATATTCGAACCGGAAATGCATATGCGGAACAAGCTGCTCGCGATAAGGATGTTCTAGCCTCGATAAATTATGTTTGAGTTCACGACGAGGGCGTTTGGAACCAACAGAGAATGCCGGCTATTCGCGGATTCGTTGAGGCTCATGAGTGTGGCAGTGTTCCTCGGAATTTTGTTGTTCCTAATAAAGAACCTTGGCCAAGGAGCGCGTGGGGAATGATGTCGTGAGCAATTTACGGCACAGGGAATGCTATTTTAAATACTTCGGTCGTGATGCAGATAAGCTGGATGTCTGGGGTGTCAATATGAAGCTGTCGGATCGCGTGTGGCAGGCTCCTGTTGTACCGTTGCTCGACCTTTACGCAACCCAGAATGGTGATGGAAACATACCCGACAGTTTTGCTATTCCATCAGAATCTCCCTGACCCGAAGGCATGTGGGGTGTCCGTCTCTCTCATTGTGGCTCGCAATGTATCTCGAATGGCTAAAATCGATCCAACCAGGATTATCACGCAATAGAACAGAGAAATTATGGTGAAGGAGGACACAGTACTTCACTTACTGGCGCCGCCACCCGCTAAAAGAGTAGCAAGTATTACAGTATGTAGACTCCCTCGTAAATAAAAATTGACCTGGTCGCCCGCTACAATTACTCTCTTAATGCTGTTCATCAGTATGTCCACAACAATACCAGCCATGAGCCCGCCTCCTGTGCCTAGATTGAGATGTTAGTGCTTTACGTCCGCTGTGAGCCTCATTTTATCTAATGGTGAAGTTGCATTTACAAAAATGACGTAAAAAAGTGGCAAGGCTGCGCTAGTTCTGATGGATTAAACGGGGCAGCAAGCCGAAAAGCGTCTACATAAAGAGTTGGTGAAGTATGTAAGAAGTCACCTCGGCGTTGGGATGTACTGCAGATTAGGAACGTACCCCAAGGATGAGGCCGATGATGACGAGCCACTTTAGGATGAACTTCATCACATGATTTCCAGCACCGTCGAGACTTCGAACAACCTGAAAAAGAGCAATACAAACAAGTCAGAAGAAGTCGAAAATGTTGCCATCGTCGTTGCCTCTTTCCTGGTTGTTCATCTTGAAGCAAGTCATCGACTCAGCGAGAATTTTTTTCTTGGTCTCCTCGTCATGTGGGACAGTATCGATTTTCTCCTTGATCGTGTCCCGAAGTGCCTGCACATCCACCATCGCAAGTGTTTACTTCACCGCACAACAACGGACTGACGACCACCACGCAAAAGGCACCTTGTTGCTCTTAACGTCGAAGGCAAAAGAATTGAGCCCCTCCCCCTCTGGTGGCGCAAAGCTTCTCTTAACCAGCTTCTTGATCATCGCCCCGCCCGCCAACATCGCCATGTACATGTGGTAGCAGTACGGCAACACCAAGATCGGATTCTGTATTGCAAACGACGAGGAGTTTACTTCTATCTACTCGCATAAGATAATCAACCCGTAAACTGTTATACCTTCTTCTCCAATTCTTGCAAGTGGCTACATAACCTCACACATAAAACATTGCATCCAGAATTATCAAATGAAAGCATTCAACGTACTTGACGTAGTTTTGCACCGCTTGAGTTGACTGATACTTAGTACTCCAGTCCTCACCAAGGTAGAACCGTAGATCCTTGGCGATACCGTCAGCCTACAAAAACGAGTATGATACTTTAGTATTCTTCTCCAACAAGCAAACAAACAGCTCACTATCACAGTCTGACCCTGGCGATCTCGTTGAGGATCTCGTAGAGCCCACGAAAGGCGTCGTGGTCCTGGTGTTTTCTAATGGACGCCTCCAGCTGCACGTGTATGTAGTCTAGAACGTGTAAATCTTCGTAATGTCATTATTTAAAATTCACTTGCGACGTACAGAAGAGCATCAGCGCACGGCCATAAAGCTGCTTGTCCGTCAGTGCCACCACCAACTTCAGATTCACAAGGCTGGAATAAAGAAAATCAACTCGTTATTACAGATTAATACGAGCGCCAGCAAGCAGCAGCGCCCGTACTTGTCCGAGACATTGTGGATCTCGCGCGTGGCAGCGCGAATTTGCCCCGTGAGCGTCAGTGGCGTCGTCATTTTCTTCGATTATCTCAATTATTTCAAATCAAGTTGACACAATTGTTTTACCCAAAATCCCAAAAAAACAATTTTGCCACATGGTTCTCGATGCTCGTGGCGCTAGTGGCGACGCTGCTGCGGCCATCGCAGACGCTCTCGGAGCCAACCGCGCGCTTGTAACAGAGCTGCAAGCTCTAGAAAAGTCGCTTGCGAAGGAAGAGGCGAAATTACTGGCCAAAACGCAGTCAATACGCCGTCGAATGGCTCTGCGAAGAGCCCAACAAGCCATGGACACTCTATTGCCTCCTACACCAGACAAAGAGACGGTGCTACAGCGCTATGAAAGGCCCCCACGCATCCGAAAGAAAATGGGAGTCGTACCGCGCTCGTACATCCGCCAGCAGGCGTCATTCTTCACAGACGAGGAAGAGCACGAGCGGAAAGTGGGGAGACCAAAGAAGAAGAAACAGAAGACAGTGGAGCTCACAGGCGGGGAAGATGAAGAGCAAGCGAAACTCCGAGCTCTCTCCGAGCCTCCACCTAATGCCGACACGGAGTTTCTGCGTGCTCGTAGTCACGAGGCCTTCATCGCAGGTCCACCGACCATTTTTTCGCCTAAAGAACGGAAGGTCGTCAAGGAGTTTGCAGAAGATTTCTACATGACGCATGCACCAAACGAAGAAATCCCTTTACAAATGTGGAACAATATTCACGTGTGGCAGGGCACAAGGAAGTCGCGGCAACTTCCCATTGAACGCTCCGGTTTCGCTTGCAAATTATGGTACGATCTCCACGAATCGCCCAGTTTACGTCTGTGCGCATGGTCCAAGGCGGAAGATGCAGCTTTAAGACGTTTGGCAACGGGTGAAGTGGACTCCACACTGGTTAACCAGTGGCACGAGATCGCCAAACGCATGCCAATCCCCGGAAGACCAGCAGCACATTGTCTCACTAGATACCAGACTGCGTTATGCGCCAACAACGCAAAATCCGGATTCACGCCCGAAGAAGACCAGATCTTACGTGAAGCTGTGCCGATTTTTGGTGAGAAATGGAACGTGATTGCAGATTTATTAGATGGCCGAGTGTCGGAGCAGATTCGTCATCGTTGGCAGCTCACACTTGCTCCGGGGCTTCGACGTGGCAAGTTCTCGGTGATTGAGGATCGACGGATGCTGCTAGCACTCCGCGCGTACGTTCCAAAGGGCTGTGAGTACAACTTGGAGCAGGTAGCGTGGAGCGATATCAGTCACCATATCCCGGGGCGGACGCAGCCAGCGATTCGTGATCGATTTCTCAATTGTCTGAATCCGGACTTGTCGTTCAGGAAGTTTACGAAACAGGAGGATCAGATTATTCTGTCTAAAGTACAAGAGTGGGGAATTGAGTCGGCCAGACTGTGGCCTCGTCTTGCTGCTGAGCTCGGCGATCGCACAGACGCGCAAGTATGTCGACGCTGGAGACTTTTAGACCCTGAAGCGTATGAAAAGCGAAGTGAGGCATTGGAGAAGGCCACTGCACGACAGACTACCTCTGTCTTCCGTCGACGATCGATCCACAGACGCGTCCCCAATAACAACAGCAGGCATACCTCGCGAAGCTCGTACAACGGCGAAGTCGAACAAGCAGAGCAGAACAAAGCCACTAGACGAGGTCCAAGAGGCCCCGCTAAGTGATACACTGGAGCCTGTTACGCTTACGCTTCAACGGCTTTACGGGACAGTGGCGTCTCTCCAAGAAGCTGCGACTCAACGCACACTATACCGCTTAATATACTTGTCATTGTCTACAAAGTCCCAGGCCTGCCACATATCCGAGAGAAGACAAAGCTGCCCCAGTTTGCTAAAAAGCCAAGCTAATGGAAGTGTTGTCAGTCAACGCCACGTCCTTGACGCGATCAGGTGTCTCGTCACGTGGAAGCTCGACGCCGCGGAGCTCAAAGACCCAGTACAAGATGGACGAAGACTACTCGTCGGGCAATAACAACGACGCCCAACCTCAGCAGCATCCTGTAGTCACAAAAATCAAAGCAACACGCTGTTATCGTCCCAAGGAGTGGAGTCCTGAGGCGGAGGAAGCGTTCCGTGTGCAACAGACGGGCTGGCGCGACATCAAGGAGTACATGGAGACGTACGGCGAGCCGGAACGCTGGCAGAACGGCTTCGTGCGTTGTACCCGAGTCAAAGCCAACGGATACTACACGTACTGGCGACCGCATCGCGAGTGCGACGACAAGTATCTGCACACTGTCAAGCTGTTCGAGTACGCGTAAGGACACGTCGTTAGACAAGAACAAGGGGCTGCATCATATTCGCGCCAATCCACTTATAGCCCTTCTCTTTTACTCTACGAAGCTGAGCTGACCAAGCGCTAACGCAACACCAATACACACGATGGCGAACCACCACAGCGCGTTAGTGGACTCGCTGGGCTTTTTCTGCTGCTGTTGGGAAACACTCTTCGTCTTATCGGCTTCCTTCTCATCTAGCAACCTCCCACCCCAACGTTCTTTCTCCACTTTCTTTTGCTCAGCCAATTTCTCCTTCAACGTCGACAGCGCGTCACGGATATTTCTATCCGAGGGATGGTGTTTCGCCGCTTTTGACAGTTTCTCCTTCGCTCCAGCCAGATCTCCAGTTAGTAAGAACGCGCGTCCTGCACGGTACAGCCCTTTGTCGTTCTCTGGATCGATGGCAAGTGCCAGATTGGCATTCTCAATGACCTTGGACAGCAGTTCTTTATCGTTTTCTCCATTCTTTGGAGCCCCTTGGACCAGATAACACGCTGCTAGGTTCAGATACACGGGGAGCCTCACTACGTTCACATCTGAGCGGTTTTTGGCTGTGAACTATTGCAACAAGAGCATAGACGCACAATAATGTGAGGCTAATTACTACTTCGTACTAGCAGACGACGTTAAGTATGCAGACCTCGAAATGCCACGTGCCCTCGTCGAAGTCCACGTGGTAGAGCGCGCGCTGGTACCACGTCACTGCCTTGTCAATATCACCAGATTTAAACTGCGCAGAGCCTCGTTGGCGGCAGAGATCAGCGCGCTCGATGCGCGTCTCGAAGATGCAGGAGCGTTCCTACACGTGTTGCGCATCAACGTTTATATCGATATATATATATATATATATGAATACTGCGGAAATTGAGGGCATAAAGAGACTTACGTCATGCATCAGCAGTTTGGTCTCTTTGTTCATGTCGACGTCAGTGGCTGGGACGTGTGTGGCGTCGGCAGGAGCGCCATCTTCCACTGAAGAAGTCATGGCCAGGGGTTAATAGTACCGCCAAAAAGGCGGTAGCACTATTACCGGTAATGCTAGGCCATTTTTTTCCCGGTAATACTAATAATAGTATTGAAATCTCATCACGGTATTAATATTAGTACTATTAGTACTAATAGTCAAAGTACTATTCTACCGCTTTCGAAGAGTCACGCGACTTGCGCGCGTCTTGCTTCATCATCACAATCTCGTTCCTGTTGTGCTGCAGTAGTAGCTGCTTCTCCGATCGCCTGCTATCTGTTCTGGTACGAAGCGGCCCCATAATTATTCCCCCCGTAGAAAACACTCGCTCTTGAAACGCCGACGATGAGATCTTGCCGAGATGAATACGTGCAAGCAGCGCCATTGAAGGGTATTGGCTCTCGCCTTCGTCGCACAACCATTGCAGGACGTCTACGTGTTGGTACAGCCCCAGCAGCGACCAGCACATACCCGTCCGACTGTCCGTTGTCATTGTAGAGGACAGATCTTCCTTCTTGGTCTCAGGGTTTTGGCGCTGTGCAATCTCGAGCCACTCAGGCTCCATCTCGAGCCACTCGTTCATGGTACTGTCCGCTCTTGCATTTAACTCCGACTCCTTGACCTCCCCCCTGGTCTTACTTGTACGAATAGGTGCCCCGAGCAAGAGCTCGTCTTCGTCGTCCCAGCCTGTCGATGATGGAGAAGAGAGCGGGGAATTCAAGTCCTGGCTGAGTAGGCTGCTCTGCGATGAAGTCTGCGATAATGGCATCTTGCCCACCTTCGCCATCTGCGCAAACACTTTTCGATGCTCGTCTCGAAGGATTTCCAGACCATTTTTGTAAGTGGCTTTCTCCTCTTTGCGGGAGACGTTGCCAACCGCAGCAATTTTCTTGGCGCTGGACTTAGTACGAGGGTCCAGTAATATACACACCATAGCCTCCCTCGTCACTTTTGGGAACCGTGACTGCAGTTGTAGAAGAGTCCTTCGCAGGCACGTTTTCCCAGCTTCTGTGAGCTGGTCAAGCTTTCTCACTACCCGTCGATGACTTGCCTCGTTCCCATCCTTTGCTCGAGGGGCTTCATTAACCATAGTGCCAAACTTGAGCGATTTCAGCTTCTTCTCGGCAAGTCTCTGGAATACTACCATGTATGAAGATACTAGATTCTCGCTTTGCACCTCAACCAATGCCAAGTTGGCGATAAAGTGCGTGACCGCTTCCATCTCGGTTGCCAGTACCCAGTCGTCTGCAGACAAAGCTGACCACACGCTAGTAGAATCCATCGTCGACTGGAAATAAGCTTCAAAAGCCGCATGGTTAACCACAGACCGCCTTATCAGCTTGCACGTGTACGCGACTCTAGCATCTTTGTCGGTCATGGGGTCTAGCTCAGGGTACGAGAGAGCTTCTTGAATTTTCTTCAACGCGTTGCGCTGCTTCGGCGACCGGAAGTGGTTGTTCAGATTGCGTAGTTTCTGAATGACTTCACCGCCCTTCTCCAGAGATCCACCCGGTGTAACTATCGTAACTACTTTATCCCATGAATGGCAGGCAGCATTCCACACACTGTTGGTTTGTATGTTGTTCTTCAATCCGATCCCATATCCGATACACAGGTTCAGCAGATGCATCGAGCAATCTTCTTGCTCGCTGTCAATATGGTCAGCTACATTGCGCGCTGAGGGCGTCGTGTCGGACATGGTGAAGCGAGTCATTGCACGGATGTCGATGTCGTACTTCGCCTTAAAACCACTTTCGATCACTTTAGCCACAAGCGGAGCGTTGTGTCCGTCGTTCTTGACAGTAGCTAGCATTGCGATGAACCTGTAATGGGCTCTCCCAAGTTACATATGTAGGTAGTTTTATAGGTTCTTTGTAGTGGTTCACACCATTACATAAGTAGGTAGATTTGCATTACAAAAGTAGGTGCAGCAGCACACGAGTAGCGTGTGCTGAACTGCCGTCACCTTATTGGTTGAAATATGGGGAGCCAGGCCCATAATCAACCAATAAGGAGTTGACGTGTATTTGAGTGGTCAGAGCAAGCTGCCCTGGACCTAAATAAAAACAGAGTTGATTTTCCTTCAGACTAAGTACTTGGTTTCAGTATCACTGGACTTGTACGCTTCCTCATCACTACGTGTAAGCAAGTAACGGACACCCCAGGCCCGTGACACCTGGTAGCACTTAGTAGTCCTTCCCATGACCAAGTTCACGATGAGCCAAGGCATGACGTCTGAAACGCCAGGGCCGACCCTGGAACATGCTGCTTTCCCTCATCTCACTCGTGTCGAGTGGGAAGCCCTTCACCGCCTCGCGCGATGTCTGGTGAGGCTGTAATCGCGTCGCTGCTGAGCTCAGCGACGTCCGACCAACAACGCCAAGCAGCCCAAGAGTTTATGGAACGCGAGCTAGCCGATGCGAATCGGCGAGCAACAACTCCCGCGCGTTCCTCGAAAAATGATGTCGTGAAGCTAGAGACGTCTACCTACTCCGGTGAAGGAGCGAATCGCCTCCCGCTGAACCGGTGGTTTCGCGAGGTCGACATCGCGATTGCTTCGAGAATGATCGAAGCGCAAGGGTCTAAGGTCAATTTCTTATTGTCCCGGTTGTCCGGGAAGGCCAAGGAATGGGCCCTCGGTAAACTTGTCGTTGATCACGACGCATTCCCCACTCTGGAGTCTCTCCAGAAAGATCTCAGGCTCGCGTTCGAGCCCCCTCAAGACGAGTCCCGCGTGCGTGCCGAGTTCTTCGCCCTTCGTCAAGGTAAAATGACTATGCGCGACTACGTTCAAAACACTCGCCACCTCGCGTCATGCATCGTGACAAATCCGATTGACACAGCATCGCAGGTCCATGTATTCGTATTCGGCATGCGTGAAGGCATGACACGGTACTGCCTGACCCGAGCGGAACCTTCCTCTCTCGAGGAAGCATTCGCCCTCGCATTACGCGAAGAATACGTAGTGGCGGCGTCTTACGCGCGCGCGATGTCTACGGCAGCTCGTGAGTCAGCCCCCGAGCCCATGGAGATCGACGCGATTGACGCGTCGAATAGTCACCGTCAATCGACTTCTCGTGGGCCCAACGGCCGTCCTAATCGCCCGCTCACTTGCTTCCGCTGCCGGAAGATCAATCATCGCGCGGCGGAATGCCGCGCCAGCGCCGGTATTCGCGCACACCGCCGAAGTCTCACCTGCCGTTCAGTAAAAAAACGGTCAGGGCCAGTAGGTGCGGGGCGCCCTACTGGCTGGAACGGAGGTTCGGTTCCCCCGGTGGCTACCCAACCTTCTAGCCCTCCCGTGCTCCACGCACACTTTAATGCCACCACCACGTCGGGCGACTCGAGGCTGATCATCGTCAGTCTTCATGTCGCCGGCGCCCGGCGACCACTTCGCGCACTCCTGGACTCAGGAGCGTCGAATAACTTCTTTCGTGAATCGTGCTTATCGATGCTTCCAAGAGAGATCGCAGTCCGTAATGGTCGAGGTCAGGTCGTCGTCAAACTTGCTGACGGAAAGCCACGCCGCGTTGCGCGGCGCGAGATCACGTTGCCGTACACATTCGACGGCTTCCGCAGCAACGACGACTTCCTCGTGATTGAGATGAACTACGCGTTCGACTGCATCTTGGGTATCCCGTGGTTGTCACGATATCAACCAGAGATTGACTGGTTGGCACGGTCGGTTAAACACCGCTCTGGCTTCGATGTGAGTGAGGTGTTCACACACCTCCTGGTTGCCCAGAAGGACTGGCCCCATGTCAGGGTCGTGGACCGGCTGTCCACAATGCAGGTTGAGCAGAGAGCGAGCGATGGCCCTCTCTGTATGTCTTGCACAGCGCTGTTGCGCGAAAACCCCTCGCTGCGAGGCGAGGCTGTTAACACTTTGGCGGTAGAGCAGGGGCTCCCGCAATCCGAGCAGGCGGTCGAGCATGAGTTCCCGTCACGCAACACGGCGGTCGAGCATGAGCTCCCGTCACGCAACACGACGGTCGAGCATGGGTTCCAGTCATGCAACACGGCGGTCGAGCATGAGTTCCCGTCACGCAACACGGCGGTCGAGCATAAGTTCCCGTCACGCAACACGGCGGTCGAGCATGGGTTCCCGCAACACAACAAGGCGGTTGAGCATGGGTTCCCGCAGAACACTCTAGCGGTTGAGCAGAGGTTCCCGCAACGCGATTCGGCGGTCGAGCAGCTGGAGCTCCCGTCATCCACAGCGGTGGTCGAGCAGTTGACACTCCCACCGGCTACGACGGCGATCGAGCAGGGGCTCTCGCCTGTCGATGGCGCGGTCGAGCATCGAGAGCTCCCGCGCACTACCGACACGGTTGATGGTGCCCCTCCGTGTCGAGAGGGGGGGGGTGATCCCTCGTCCAGCGATAGCGAGTCTTCTGCCTCGAGCAGCGGTTCGAGACGCCGCAAGAAGAAATCCAAGCGACGCCGCCTTAGGCGACGTGGTCAGCCCACCGCCGATATCGCAGTGAATGAGTCCATACACGTCCTGAAACACGTGGAAGGAGGCGTCGCTCGCTCACGCACACTTGACATTGAGGGCCCACCTCGCGAAGCTTCTTCCATCACACGCCTTCCGGGTCTTTCCTGGAAGCATTTTCTGCGCGATCTGAAGTCAGGAGACATCGATCAGGTCTGCTTGATCACCGAGTCTGCCTCGGCGGAAGAGATCCACACGGTCGCTACCGACAATCTTCCACTTCGTCCAAAGAACGAAAGAACGCTGAGCCGAAGTCGGCGCGCGAAGAGCGCTTCGCTGCCCAGTCGTGGGAGTCACTCCGCGACTCGGGCAATCCAGTATACGACACCGTCCGCGAGTTCGCGGATGTTTTTCCCGACAAGATTCCATCAGAGCTCCCTGCTGACAGAGGCATTCGCCATGAGATTGATCTCACGCCGGGTTCCAAGTACTGTGT